GAAATCGAAGACTTTTTACGGCAAAATTTTCTACCAATGAAAATATATCGAAACCATTGATCCGATCAGTAGATGCGGACTAAGCGAGCTCCACCCCTTCATCAAGAAGACATAATACCCCAGTCTCTAGTTCGTTATAGACCTACCATCTGCTGAGCTTCATCATCATCAACAGCATCTGACACATTGCAGGGAACCTGGGCGTCCTTGAAACACGCCGATAGTAATCGAGGGAGATTGTCTTCTGCGTGCTCCGAGACACTCTTCGGGGGGATAAGCTAACATAAACCATAAACGCCACTCATACGGTAGAGGACGATCATCACAGTAGCCTATCTGATCCCTCGAAAACTCATCTGATTGATTTTACCACTACTTATAATCAACTTCAGCACTTCCAGAGCAAATCCAACTTGGATGATGTTGTGTGTAAGTTGTATAATTCAATTAAAATTTCCCAGCAACTTCTAGCTCATCAGAAACACCTTCTCGCACTCTCAAATACGCTTATGCCCAGCCGTTAATTCAGCACAGGAGATATTCATTTCACAGCCGATCAATGTGACGCTGTAGTACCACCAGAGACCAACCCACCTTCATCCACGCCTCAGTGCCAGGTAAGACGTTGACCTCCAACACGCCAGGACGGGGTAGGTTGCAACCAATGTTAGTAACCGCCTGAAACAAGATTGTTAAAGTAAAATCTGAAAAACAACAAGCCCAATGATATCTGAAGTTCAATGACCATCCGATATCTTCCTGGGCGAATTGATCGATTATGAGTATCTTTTCCTCTCACTTTGAAACGGTAAGATACGTCACTCACCTGGAAGATATTTTTGCTCACGACCGATAACGCATCAACAGCTCCAATGCCGTTTTGAATCTAAAACAACTACATTCAGTCGGCCTAAGAAAGGCAACCCTACGCTAAGCACAGGCGCTCCATCACTGAGCAAACCAGAAAGATGTTTCTTAACGACATCTGGATCTTCCAACTGCCATGCCTTGGAGGCTACCACCACAAGCTCCGGTGTAGTACCACCGAATGCACCTAGGCAATCTTCAGCCTGAAATTGAGCAATCCTGATGTGATACATAATCTCTACTCATACACAGGTGATCATCCAGGAACCTATAATGTTCCCGGGAGAAACTCTTTTTGAATTTTCCAATTTCCAATATATAAATGTCATCACGTTAGTAACATTTCCTCCATTGTTATCAAACCCAAAAGGCC